ATTGAGATGCAATCGGCTGTTTCCTTGCCGTGAAGGAGACATGCAACCGCGGTTTATGTACTTTTACCTTCTAAGAATTGTCAATTCTATCTTTTAGCTTGGAGACTGCATTTGATAGCGATGTACTAGATATGCCACATGACTGGTCATCATCATCATTATCAGCCTATAAGTGCCCACTGCTGAGCAAAGGCCTCTTCTCATACGGAGAAGGTTAGAGCATTAATCACCACGCTTGCTCAATGCGGGTTGGCGATTTCAAACTTATAATTAGAAATTATAAGTCCAGGTTTCCTCACGATGTTTACCTTCACCGTATGTCAGTAGTGTCTAATTAATCATAGAAAGTACATATAACTCGGAAAAAGTCACATTGGTACTTGCCAGGTTTCGAACCGTTCTGGGCTGATTAACCTCCGGGCCACAACGACATGTCACTGGTACCTACATAGTAATCGTAAATCAAATTCCTAACAACCTCAAAATATTTTTTAAGGTTGTTAGGAGGGAAAAGCATCAAACGACTTATTTCGCCTTCGGTGCGGAGTAAGGGAGTCTCAGACTATTGAATAGAAACCACCCGGTTCCTTCAGAAGAGGTTGGCTGATCATCAGCCCTGTTGGACTTTATCTGTGGCGGTCTGTGGTAGTTCACATGATAACAAAATAAATACGTGAAAATTCCTTATTGTTACTTATGCTAAAATGACTAAAAGTGATGGAGATTAGACAGAAACCTAAAGGTCTGCGAACAAATCTACCAAGTCAGCTGATGAATATAAATCACATGAAGTGACGTGTAACCAGTAAATGATTCTCTTCTTCTTAGTTGTTACACTCTTGGCAGAGTGGTCATGGCTGTTGATGGATTGGTTGCACCATACCGTCGTCCTGTCTTTCTAAAGCAGCACGTTGAGCGATGTCTCTCCACTTTTGTCGACTTTCAGCGTTGTGAGTATATTGTACTGCGGTCGACTTCGTAATTTTTTTAATCAGGTTGATTCGATCAGGAACCAGCGAGTCGGGGACCTCTCTCGTGGTCTCGTGCCTTCTGTGTGGCCATGTACCACAAGCCGCTGACATGAACAAAATCTACTTAAGCATTTAATTGCCAATCTTCCCTGTTAACGCCAACAAACCGAATTACTCATCTTTTGTAATATGAGTTGGCATTTCCTTTTACATTCCTCAGTCGTCAGTGAGCGTTCCTTTCATAACATTACGCGTCAAATCAAAAGCGTGCATTCCTAAAACAAACTTTTTCACCGATTGAAAAAAAAAAGTTCCTTGATTAACGTTACATTTTAGAGAAAAATATTTATTATAAGATATTTGCTAGTCTAAATTAAAAAAACAATAGTTTCTTTAATTATCCTACATATTCATCACATCATCATCAGCCTGATTTCGTCTACTGCTGGACATAGGCCGCTCATCCAACCACTACCACCCTATGGATATCGTCAGTCCACCTAAATGGAGCCCTACGTTTGCCTAGACGTGGTCTCCATTTCAGAACACATCTACCCCACCGGTCATCGGTTCTTGGCTAAATGTGACCTGCCCACTGTCATTTCCGTTTGCTAATCCTTCACCAACATAATAGGCATTCTATGTAGAAATAACCTTATAATTTATATTAATTAATAATCGTAAGAACACTCGCAGACCTTGCAGTAGGAAAAATAAACTTATAAATACCACAGTGGGAGAAATAACAGAAAAGCTATCCGTTCATAATCAGTTCATTCAAGAATTTACCACTAGAACGTTACCTTGCAGCCCTGGCTACCTTTCTACAACGGGGATTAAAACCAAACCCATCCAGTTTCTGTCCTTTGTGAATCAACTACACTAAATCGCTGGCCGACTTATATACTCAAGAGAATTCAAAGACAACTCAGTTTGTCAAAGATCTCTGCAGACGTAGAGCAAAATTAATACAAAATAAAATATTTTTCATCATTCAATTCGTCTTTAACACAGAATAAAAAGTTTTTTTTTAAATCTTTTAAGTACGACGCCTGATTGAAAATTTTTAATAAAGTGTTGTTACAAAACTTGTTGCTCTAATAATTATTTAGGCGCGTATAATATATTTAATCAAAATGGCTTTTGCTAGTGTGAGCAATATAGTTTTAAGTATTTTAATGACTATATTATTTTATAAAACTGGTGAGTATTATTTTCAACATGGGGTTGATTTTATTTTAGGTTGATTTTATTAAATTGTTTTTAGAGGTTATGGTATTATGTAGTATGTCCCAATTGCTGAATTGTTCAGAAATTAATATTAATAACGTAATTATGTAGATAATTATATTTGTTCTTATTTTCAGGTGAAGCAATCAAATGCTTTGAATGCAACAGTAAGAATAACTCAGCATGTTTAGAAATGCATGTTCCAAAGATGCACGCAACAGTACCTATTGTTGACTGCAAAGAGTCTTTTTCCAATACTATAGACAAAAGGGAATTCTTCTGCAGGAAGATCACACAGACAAGTAAGTAAGTTTTAGAACTCAAAAAAAAAAGAAATTCAAACTTCTATCTAATCATACATGTTGCTGGTTTTGTAAGATAGATGGCAGTAATTCGTATTCTCTAAATACTATATAGAATTCAACTTAATGTTTTTAGGGTTGGTAAATTAGAAAAAAAAGACAAAAATTAATCAATGTGGATTTCCATAATATTTATTTATGCATAAATATTCACTTATGTCATTACGTCGGTTATTGAAATACCTAATTTCTCCTTAACTGAGCGATTTTGTAAAATAATTGAGTAAGTGTTTTATGAAATTACTTTAACTCCATACTTAAGTAAGTATACAGTTAAATGGAAATAAGACTTAAGATATTTGCATCCAATCTTAGATATATGGCACCACTGATTTATTTATTTATTTCCAAAAGGATGTAGTTTATTTATTTATTTATTTATTTTACACTTCTTGCACAACGTACAATGGTGGACTTAACGCCTTAGGCGTTCTCTGCCAGTCTACTGTAGTTGTGTGGCATACCTAATTTCAAACTCCAGATTTTCATAGTTTGGAATTACAAAATATCCATTCTTTATTAATATAATGACATCTAAGTATATAAATAGGCAGGTTCCTACTTATATGTATACCTATAAAATAATAAGTAAAAACGGAAATGCAAACTGGACACATGAAGTACAGCATACCTACAAATACAGGTACTTAGAGACAATAGTATACCAGTTTTAAAGCGGTAACATGTCGCTACCAGATGACCATAGAGATGTGATGATTAACCAACTGCGTGATTATCAGTGCGTGTAGCGTGTCCTTATTCTGGAAGCGTTTTTTTTTTTTATCATTGTATTATGGACACCAATAAACTTGTGCATATTCCTTATCCCTCATTTGACTGAACTCATAAAGGGTGGATCATATTTGAACACGATATTGTACTCATGATTATATACCACTTTTCCAAAGAATTTTTTTTCTTATTTAGACTTTATCTTACCGCTAGCTTGATTAGCAAGCGCGGGCTTCAGTTTGCCGACTACGGTCTCAGACCATAGAACTAATCTATATCTTATCCTTTTGTTAATAATATGAGAGATGATCTCCGGCCACCGTAAGCGCGGGTCTGCGGTCGGCGAGTAAGGGCAGCTCGCCGCCCGACCAGAACCAGGCCCGAGCGTACGGCGCATAGCGTTCCGCGCGCGCCTCAAAGAGCCAATAGACCACCACAGACGGGGCCCTATAGGGCTGAAGTTCAGCCGGGGTTGCGGGGTAAGCGCAATGAGACACCGCGACCTCAGCCCAAGGAGGAGAAGGAACAGGGGAGTTTTAGTCAGTAGGAGTCTGACACTCCTCCCTGTCTGCCCATTTGATGATTTTCCCCCCACAAAAAAAAATGCTTTTGTTAATATAAGGAATAAATAATGCTACAAAATGTCCCATGCATTTATACCATTAGATATTTCCTATTTTTATATGTATTTTTCTTTCAGTCCTTCATCCAGATCAGACTCCAGAAGTCCGAATCACTCGCGGCTGTGGCTGGGTGAGGAGCAAGAGGGAATGTTACAAAGCTGACAACATGGATCATTTGGAGACTGTTTGTCAGTGCTTCGGTGATCTCTGTAATGCGGCAACAACGCTTGGATACATCAATATGACAGTTCTTGCAGCTGTTGCCACTCTTGTTACGGCCTTTATAACTTGGCGAGGGAACGTTTGAAATTAGAATTAAATTTGTATATTTTTTCTTGTATATTTTGAATTTACATCTACATGGCATGTATATATATCTCTTTATTTCAAATGTTATAATCCAGATAAGCATAACACAATGTTTGTAAATAAATTTCTATAATAACACTCGCAACATACAAAAGTCCTTGTTATTCCTAAGGTTATCATCACCGTTTCACCTCCAGATACTTACGATATTATACAATAAAATGTATGTCAAATTAAAAAATAAAAATATGGAGATCGAGATTCCAGTCGAGATCAGACACGTGTGCGAAGTCTACGTAACGCGCACCCTGCTCATGTATTAGTATCCTGTTGTGACTTAAAACTGGTAGGAATTGAGATCGAGATAGCAATTAAAGAGGTTCTGGCTTAGAACACTGGTTACCAATATATTCTTCTGCCATCACGATATGCCATGACTGCGGTAAATACTTATAACAACCGGATTTGAGAGGCGAGCAGTAGAAGGAATGGAGGGGTTTTTAGTCGGTAAGAGTCTGGCACTCCCACTCGCCAGACCCTGGGCGAGAGAAATCATTTGAAGACGATCTTCACTTAAAAAGATACCTAATATCTTAAAGGATACATAAAAATCTGTTTGTATAAGCCACAGAGGATATAAAACTTATTTGCATCCTATCTCCTAGAAATAAAAGTTGACCGTGGCGTCAATTGCCTTCCGATAACACGGAATAAGACCGCGTCGCAATTTTAAACGAGAATCGCAAGTAAATGTAAACAGTTAGCAGTCAACTGCCCAATGTCCAACTCGCGACACATCTAAAAATCATATCAATCAATTTGCAATTTGTGTTACTTACAAAAATAATTTAATAAAATAAAATGAAAATGTTGATAAAGTTCCTGAAAGCTTGTGCAATATTCGCGTTCTTTTTTAAATATGGTACGTTCTACTTTAGTTTTTTTTTCTTTTTAAGTTTAAGGGATAATTATGTTTATTTTATGAAAAAACAGTTCGTATTTTATTAAAAATTTACAAAATAATACGAAATTGTATCGCTTTTATAGTCTTTAAGTGGCCTAAGTTTTCAATTGCCAGCAATTCTTAAATTATGCTAAGTAACTTTGAACCGATGCCGATTTTGAGGAACGTAGCTGGGCAATCGAGTGTGGTGCAACTTTTTGCGGGTTCAATTCCCACACAAAGCAATTCTTTGTCTGATCCATAGACGTATTTACTTAATTGTCAGTTTATAACTGCACCAACAACACAGGACAGTCCTAGAGATGGTGCAACATTTATTGCTTCAGTTTTTAAAAACACTGAACGAAGACTTCGCTGAAAGCTTACTAGAACTAGTAATGTGAAATTTACGAGCTTGTAAAGTTGTAACGTTAGTCCTGTAAAATAATTTCCCCGCTTCTTCATAATTTGACTTATATTCTCCAGCGTCCGCTATCCGTTGTTTCGAGTGCAACAGTATGAACAACTCCATGTGCCTGGATCCCACCATCTACGACAAGGAGACCATCAACAACTTCCTACCAATCGCAGAGTGCGGCCGTGGCATCTACTCCGCTAATAACGAATTCTTTTGCAGAAAGATTATTCAGACCAGTAAGTAGATAACAAAAATATTAATTTTTTTTAGTCTTCAAGTTAATTCTGTTTCCTCATATTGGGACTAGAGAGAGGATTAAAATTGTATAATTAATTGTACATAATAAACAAAACTTATAGCTTGGTTGGTGACAAAATTGACATTTATTATTATTTAAGACTGAAAATGAACATTAAGCATTATTAAGCATTCGTTTGAGCTGTAAAATTTTCCCAACATTACATTTATGTTGCGAATAAAAGCTAGAATTGGCAATTTTACTTATTTTCGCGGTCCGGACCAGTATTATTATAGCGTAATTATTATAAATAAAAAAAGGTTACAAATTTGTCATATAATATTCTTAAAGACTTCAAGAAAGAAACAGAAATACGTTTATATGCTCTTCAAGAACCCACACATTTAGCAAGTGGAACAATTTATTGTCCGATATAGGACAGTAAGAATTGTCCAATACAATAATCATTATTCATTTAATGTTCAATTAAATACTTACTGGAGGGCCACAGCTAAAGATACGAACAGTTTAATTAATTAAATTGAACCTCATTGATAGCAGCCTGCTAAATTTCAACTGCTATTCGCTTTTCGAACTCGTAACGCGACGTCTAGTTAGGGGCTTGTCACACAGAAAAGGAAATTATAATTATGTCCATGGAAAAATATCAAGTGATCCTCAATTTTTTATTCCTGTTTTTAGTTTAACATTAAAACAAAAAGTTTCCTTAACGCGCCATGGGGGTCACCGGTGACCTCCGTTAGCGGAGGATTTGCCTTCAACAGTTTTCTGTCGGCAGTCAAAGGCTTAAGAAAATTTTCAAGCCTAAACCACTCCTTATTAATAGATAGTGCACAGGATAAAGGGGCCTTACTGCTCTTGCATTCTTGCATGCATTTAAATTCAATAAAACGTTAACGTATATCTAAGTTAGTAATCTTTATTTATTTCAATCTTCCAGTTCTCCACAAGGGTTACGAGCCGGAGGTCCGTGTGACCCGTAGCTGTGGCTGGGTGCGCCACCACCGCGATTGCTACAAGGCTGACAATGAAGACCATCTAGAGACCGTCTGTCAGTGTTTCGACAATGAGTGTAACTCTGCCCCCATCCGCAAGAGCGCACTGGCGTTGGTTTTAGGCGCGACAGTTATGATGTACCTGTGATTTAATACAGTATTATTTTGATTGACTCGTTTTATTTATTATATTCCAACTTTACTGAAAATTGACTTCTCCAATATCCAGGCCTTCCATCATCATTTCATCCTTAGTTTTTCATATCCAATCACAACCACCACTTTGCAGATATCCATACCCTACAGTAAGTTTTCATTTCAAATCATTTAAAACTATAATTTGGTCTCCGACGATTTTAGTATGATGGTTATCACAATCATACACATAAGAGACATCGTTTCTAAATAAGGAAAAGTACCCATTCCAATAAATAAATAAATAAAGGACTTAATTAATTTTGTAAGTTAGGTCGGTTGCAAAAATCCTATTAAGAAATCACACTGCTTTTTAGAAGTGCCTTTTGTCTCTGAAAGCTCTACAACTTGTTTTGTATATTGATAATATAGGTACTTATCTACCTTATAACCCTCGATTTACATAATAAAAGCCCATCAATCCACAAACAATAGGTCCAGTCTACATTGTATTGAGCGCAAAGCAATAAACATTAGCAGGTACCTCCAACAAAGCTTAAACAATCATTACGGGGACACAAAAACGGAAACCCGGACAGACAAACCATGAGCTTCCTGTGGCAATTTAGACTTTTGTGAATTAAGTAGGTATCTACTAACGTGAGTAATGTAATTATAAGCGTAACCTCAAATGACATTGGCCCAGTCAGATTAACTGTGTGAACTGATAAACGTTGGACTGGGCCAGTTATCTCCAGCTGGCTTAATAAACCGTGACATTATCAGTCAATGCCATTAAGGACCTAACATTTAAGTATATTAAAGTATATCAACTCACAAACAAATAAATATGTAGGTATAGAAAATAAAAATAAACAATAATAAAAATTAAATGAAGTAATACTTTATGAATTATCTTCTTGCAGCGCCATCTCGTAGTAAGTACATGAACTTTCACCATGCGCCGTAACATGTTCACTTCACTTGCTAGTTATGTTACACCAATGTAGATGGCGCTGAACACCTAAATAGAAATTCATTACATTTTTAATCGTATTCACGTATATTATTAAACAAATTGACAAACATATCTAAAAAAGATTTTCAAAAAGTGTTATTTTAAAATTAGTCAGTATTAATTTTTTTTCATTATTATACATATTTTTTTCAAACATAACAAAGATATACATTTACTTTATAGTAATCTTTTGAATACACGATAAATAAAATTGAATCAATATTTTTCTTAGAAATGTCGGCACTTTGCCAAAATATTAAGCTAGTGGTGCATAATTTGGGCAAATCTGTCAAGTCAGGTTGGCCGAGTGGTCTAAGGCGCCAGATTTAAGCTCTGGTTCCCGAGAGGGAGCGTGGGTTCGAACCCCACACCTGACAAATTCAAGTGTCCATGACACATTTTTTTGATACTTTTTATTCATTATTTTCTTAAAATTATCAATTTTTTTTTTCAAAAATCAGCTGCATTCATAGTGCGTGATAGTAATATCATTCATTAACTGCGCTCTTAATGTCTGTGTCACAAGAGTGATGTTTGTAAAAAAAATGAAAATTCTGACGTCACATCTGATAATGATGAATCATGTTGATGATGAATCATGTTCTGATATGTGAATGTGTTCATTCACATATCAGAACCGACTAAATGATGTAACAAAGAAATGTATTGTAAAACTGATTGAAAAAGAGTAACCATGGAGTTTCTTGCTCGTTCTTCTCCATAGGAATCTACACTTTGGAACGAGCAAATAGCTTCACTAGAGGTCAGACGGACAGACTGACACGCTTCATTTTAAAGCTCTTGTTATATACTTTTTTCCTTTTTTGCTTGCTTGACGTTCAAAAGTGCCTACTGTGGTCTAATTGAAATAAATGATTTTTGACTTTTTTGACTTTGAATGTGCTGCTAGTTTTTACGCGTGGTTTCACCCGTGACGTGTTTGTGTTGTTTCTAAGAGCAGTCACATCATGTTAAATAATTTGATTATGGTGACGTCAGTTTAGGCCATAATATCATTGTGAAAGAATAATGGCCTAGCTGTAACCCTGAGGGTAACTTCACTCACAAGGCGAAACAAAACGCTGTGGTTGTTTTGGCGCCGAAGTTTGCTCTCCCATACTTAATACTTACTGTAGATCCTAGTTCCACTGGAGCTAATTTTGAACAAAAAGACTGTCACCCCAAAAGGGTTGGCCTCTATATTAGAAAGTTCACTGTTCAGCATCTTAATTGTTAGCCGGAGTTTTCGGTTAAGCGCAAAAAGATACCGCGGCCCCGGCATCAAGCCGAGCTCCAAGACAGAAGAAGGCCGTACCTACTCCAGGGGTTTTAGAAGGAGTTTTTAGTCAGTAAGAGACTGTCAATCCCTCTTGCCCCACCCAGGACGGAAGAAATCGTTTCAGGACCAGCAGGATGATTCTGTAAGACTTTATTCTAAACTTCGAATCAGAATCCGCTATGAGTAGTAGTACACTAGCGCTACACATGCGAGTTGAACTAAATGAACAGCAACATTTTGAATTTTGATAGATAAAGTATGAGATGACATTAAAAGTGGCATTCTAAAATGTAATTTCCCCGTCACTTCGACGCTCACTTCGGACTCGAACAAGATTCAAAATCATACAAATTTTATAGAATGGACGTCCTGGATATACATAGATATTTACGAGCACAGTATCTATAGGTATATATAGCCTACTGTCTATTTCCATTATGTGTTTTTTGTAAATTCCATCGTACATTATAAGTCAGTAACAAACATCAATAATTTCGGGCTAACTGAAAAAAAACCCAATTACAAATAAATATTTACATACTTAAATAAACCATAGTGATGCTGATAACTCTATTTATGTGTGTGTGTGGAACATGCACGTACTTTCATAGTACTTATGTATTAACGTATGTTACAGAATAGAATGTTTATGTATTTATTTAAGCATTAGATACGTCTACACAAGTTTGTATTAGACTTTAGTTTTTGAACGCTGAACATAATAATGAACGTAAGATGCTGGTAGGGGTCTTGACTGTACTTCCGGGATTGCTCTAATAGCCGCGGGATGCCTCTCCTTCCCCAAGCAGCTCAACGTACGTTGCCCCCGTGTCACTACATGCTAGCGGTAGTTTCCGGTGGCCCATCAATTGAGTTTGCCAGCCACCCCCTGCCTGTTTATCCGTATGTAACAATATTGGTCAGGGGCAGGGGCTATAGTATTTCTATAGTTTTCATCCACTAGTGCATAGCAACCCTATCAATTTTTACCACATTTTACAATAGTCCTGCATCAACCGGGGATTGTCCTTGGGTGCACTTTTATAGTGCATACAGGGATGATTGGCGGCTGATGTCCCATCACATTTAGATTAAAATTGTTCATCGGGCCTCTGCGAGTTGGCTTCGGCTCCTCGTATGCCTTCCAAAGGTCCGGGATCCTGTGGTCCTGTGAAAGGAAAGAACATACTACTTTATTCCTCAGATAACATTTATAGTGGATTCGTCTATCATTGTACCGATAGGCGTGTCAGGCAATGGCTTAATAGCTTAGAGCCTCGACCAACCCCTTAGGAGGCTGTCGTTAGGTGGCTGGATCAAGGTCTTAATTCAGAAAGTGGTACTCCTGGACACGGCTCGTATTGTGAGGGGATTTCTTTCTCTGGAGCCCTAACCGCCGGTAGCTAGGACCCTATTCCCAATAGCGGTGTAACATTAATATGATAAATAAAAAAAACATACTACCTAACACTATAAATTATTCCAGGAAGATGGCAGAGGCGTATGTAGGTAGGTATAGTACGCCCACTTTACAACAGCTGTGTCATAATAACTGTGTTAGTGACTAATAATGTATAAATTCTGCTTATATTCAACTTACCATCAGATATAGTAATGAAATATGTCAGGAAAAAAATTGTAAACGATCACCAAGATTAAGACCGCATTATACGGCTGATTTTATAGAGCTGATGTTCAGCCGGGGTTGCGGGGTAAGCGCAATGAGGCACCGCGACCTCGGCCCAGAGCAGGAGAAGGAACAGGGGAGTTTTTAGTCAGTAAGAGCCTGACACATGATTTTTAACTCACAAAAAAAACCAGCGTGGTTGCGGGGCATGCGCAATAAGGCACCGCGACCTCGGCCCAGAGCAGGAGAAGGAACAGGGGGATTTTTAGTCAGTAAGAGCCTGACACTCAATGTCACCCCACTTGAAGTCATTTGATGATGTTCCCCTCACGAAATGGATTTTAATGCGGTTTTTAAATAGGTAGAGTGATTGAAGAGGAAGGTTTATAATATTAGATAGTGGGTAAATTAAGTATCAGCATTGCACCCTTCCGAAGTGGGGACGGATCAATAGTTTCCAATAAATTTTAATATGACACATGATAGTTGCCATAAACAAAAAAGGTACACCACAGACGGGGCCCTAAAGGGCTGATGTTCAGCCGGGGTTGCCGGGTAAGCGCAATGAGGCACCGCGACCTCGGCCCAGAGCAGGAGAAGGAACAGGGGGGTTTTAAGTCAGGAAGAGTCTGACACTAGGGCGGGAGAAGTCATTTGATGATTTTCCCACAAAAAAGGTACATTTTATTATACGAATGATAATTGTTAGTGCTACCTATCACCCGCCATGGAAATAAACAAACTTATCTATCGATTTGCCTAAAATTCCAATTAACAAGAGTTCATTCAAGTTCAGGGTTACCATTTAAGTATACAAGTATTAACTGCGTAGTTGGCCTCGCCTCGATTCACCTTTTACGCCCTTAGGTACATACTAGGGGGTGGTTGGATAGGGGGTTACCTGGACAGGGTAAGGGTGGTTGTTGAAACAGAATTGATATTAATAGCGGTCAAATGTGGGACAATGAGGTTGTTATACTGTTTTGTATGAATCGATATGCCAAAAAGACGATGGTAAAGGTTTTAGTTATAGTTCAATAACCTAACTTACTAAATACAGAGAAAGAAAGAAAGAAAGAAAGAAAGAAAGAAAGAAAGAAAGAAAGAAAGATGAT